TAAGAATCTGATTGTATTACTGGATATTTTAGAACAAAGTAGATGTTTTTGTAAAAGGATATAGAAATACTGGCAATTTCATATCAAAGTTTGGGATTGCACATATTCAGATTTGATGATGATTGATGATCTTTTACTGTTTGATTATTTTTCGGTTTCCATTAATGCTGATACACTGTCATCGAAATTTGTTTTCTTTCCTTTTCTTTTTTCAGTGAGATTTTCTATTCTTTTAATGAATACAATGTAGTTTTTGGAGGAACACACACGCACACATATAAACACAACCACACACACGCACACATAGACACAACCACACACACGCACACACAAACGAACATACACACGCTAACACAAACGAACACATATTCACACACACATGTTGAGTAAAAGCTTCTCCTAACCTGTTCCTGTCGCCCCTCGTCTCGTATATATGCGTCAAAAGTGCGATAAAAATTCGAATAATATGAAAGGAACGTCCCAGTAATTAGAAAATAAAGGCGAGTGAGAATAAAAATCAACTAGAAAATGCGTCAAAATGCGATAAATATTCGAAAGAAAGAAAAATTGCGAAACAAAAAGTACAGGAAACTGCGCTAACAAAACAGAAAATAAAGCGAATACAAGTGAAAAAAAAACTAACGTGTTAATGAAAAAAACGAAAGAAGAAAATGCGTCAAAACTGCGACAAAAATGCGAATTAAAAAAGCAGTGCAAGAAAGCGATTAACATTGCTAAATAAATACAGAAAAGTTCGCTAACAAAACAAAATGAGGCGAAAAAGAGGAAAAACAATATAAGCTTATAATTTGTAGAACAGACTGGGGTCGAGGTCATGTCTGGAGGTGCATGATTGGGTCTCTCTCTCTCTCTCTCTCTCTCTCTCTCTCTCTCTCTCTCTCTCTCTCTCTCTCTCTCTCTCTCTCTCTCTCTCTCTCTCTCTCTCTCTCTAAAAAAAAAAAAAAAAAAAAAAAAATGAAACCAACGATCTACATTAAGACGTGTCAATCATTTCTCCGCGTTTGAAAATCAGGCCGGCAATCTTAGATAACATTTCTTGTCATTATTTGTTTGTGCTTATTGCCCACACCAACCACTATCATCACCATCATCACTATCATCATCGTCATATAACCATTACACACACACCATAACCCCCCCCCCCCGCCACCACCCTCTTACACAAAGACACACAGACACACACACACACCAATACCTACCCATCTCTTACACACACAGACACACATATACATACACACAGACACACACACGTACACACATAGTCACACACAGACACACATAGACATAACACACACACACACCACACACACACACACAGACACAACACGCACGGCACACACACACACACACACACACACACACACACACACACACACACACACACACACACACACACACACACACACACACACACACACACACACACGCACGCACGCACACACACACACACACATATGTTGCATAAGTAAACCAAAATTGAAGAAGAGGAACAAACTAAGGGATAAAGAAATGCGGGAAGATGAGAAAAAAGCGAAAGTAGAAAATGCGTCAAATGTGCGATAAAAGGAAGAGAGAATCGACCCTCATCATAAAGGAAAATGAGAAAAAGTGAGAGTAAACTATGCGTCAAATGCGATAAACTTGTAATGGCAAGACGAAGAAACGAAACGAAAGAAAAAATGCAGATTAAGATCAACACTGCGAAAGAGAAATAAAATTGGGAAATAAATACGAAAATAGCAAAGAAAAGTGAAACCATTATGCATGCGTCAAATCTTATAATGGAAAAAACGCAATATAGTAAAACGTTAAAAGAAAGGAGAAATGTTAACAAATAAGAAAGTATAAAATGTACAATATGGGTTAATAATAATAATAATAATACTTATAAGAGGGAAAAAAGTAGAAAAAAGCCGCCCTGGTTGCAATGTTTTCCTCTGCTAGGTATATATGAGCGTGCATGCCTCCATTCAATAAAAAATACTTCATATTTTCGTGTTTCAATTTAGGACGCCAAAACAAGCTCTCATTCTGCATCGCTTTGCTTTCGCTAAAATCTCTCATTTTGGAAGAGGATTATGGCGTGCAACAGCAATCGATTAGAGAACCTGGTTTATAATCAGATGGTTCGGCTCGTCAGCCACCTTTCCCGATGCAAGAACTGCGATAACGACAGCGACTTTCGACTGATAAGGGACTCTTCTGTGCTCATGGTCTGAATCAGCTGTTCCCAGCCCGGGGTCGCCATTTTGAAATATTTTCAGTATATACGTAGTCACATATTGATTAAGAGCTGATGGCTAAAGTTGGCTTGATTATTACACGACTTTAAAATGCAGTCGAACAAAAAGGAAAAGAAAATCTGAATTCTCATGAAACTAAATGAAATATAATCGTAATTGTGGATTTTTTTTACTGAACTGCTTTTTTATGTTTATTCAATGAAATGAATATGATAATATGATAATTTACTATAAGCCTATACATTGTAGAACATATGGGATCGAGGTCATGTCTTGAGGTGCATGAAAGAAAAAAAAAAAAAAAAAAAAAAATGGGACCAACGATCTAAATTAAGACGTTAATTATTTTTCCCCGTTTGAGAATGACGATGACAATCTTATATAACATTTCGTATCATTTCATGCTTGTGACTATTACCATCACCACCCATTATCATCATCATCGCATCATCGCCATATAACCATTAACGATATCATATCATGACGCACACACACACAAACACACACAATACCTATCCACCCACCCACCCTCTTACACACACATACACATAGACACACGCTCACACACACCAATACCTACTCCCCTCAACCCACCCTGTTTCACACATATTTAGACATACACACAGACACACACGTACACACATAAACACAACCACATACATGGAAAGTCCCCGGGCACGAAAATGACAAGACGCCCGCCGGTTGCAATCAGTTTTTCCCTGCTGTGTATTTTTATGTGTCTTTGTACTTGGGTTTCTTGCGCGTAGGCTATGTACAACTCATAATAGGTCAACGAAAATTCCTCTCCTATTTCAGTGCAGGACGTGAAAACAAGCCATAACTCTCCTCTGTAAAATGTGCGTATACTCCAGTGAATCGTTGAACTGTGTTTACCAAAATGTGTCTGAAATTCTATCTTCGTTTAATTGAAAAAGAGAAACTGAAAATTGCAAAAAGTGAAAGTAGAAAACGCGTCAAAAGTGTGATAAAAATTCAAATTAGAAAAATGAAGAGAAACGTCCCAATACTTTAAAGGCGAGTGAACAAAAGATAAGTAGAAAATGCTTGAAAATACGATAATTGTGCGAAAGAAGGAAAAAATGCGAAATAAATATTGCTGAAAACGCCAAAACAGAAAATAAAGCGAAGTGAAAATACAAAAGAAAAAGAAAGAAAATGCGCCAATCTTACAAAAATGCGAATTAAGAAAATAGTTTTTGGAATGTAAGGCAGTTACAAACTGCTATTGTTTTTTATTGTTACTTCTATCACTCATCGTTATTAATCTTTTTGTTGTCGACCATAATGAGCATTGTTGATGTGATGGTAGTGACAACACCTTTATAAATTTATTTTTTTAAAGTAAAATCTGACTAAAATGCAGACAAGACAAGCGATTGTGGTAAATGTAATTAATTAAACTCAAATTTGCTGCTAGTGTATAAAATATATAATAAAAATCTGGTGGTCAAAGAGAAAGAATCAGAGCGATATTAAGTGTTCTATATAAATGTGTTTTGCAATTCACCATGTAGGCAGGCAAGCACACGCGCGTGCACACACACACACACACACACACACACACACACACACACACACACACTAACTACTAATACTAATAATGATGGTAAAATTATAACAGATATGATAATATACATTGGTAATTACAATAACGGTGATAAAAGTGATGACATGATATTGAATATGATAAAAATGCTTCCATTAATAACCATAACTGGTAGAGAAAAAGATAATGAATGAGAGGAGGGAAGAGAAAGAGAGGGGGATACTGATATATATAGAGAAAGACCCTCTTCCTTACACACACACACACACACACACACACACACACACACACACACACACACACACACACACACACACACACACACACACACACACACACACACACACACACACACACACACACACATGAGTGTAAAGAAATCAACAAAACAAACCAAAGTAAAAATAAAAGATAAAAGATAAAAGAAAATAATAGATAAATAAAAATAACTGTAAAGTAAGAGGGTAGAAGCAGATAAGCAACCATAAAGAAAAATGGAAATATTGATTTATGCAAATTTAGAGAACTTTAGTCTCCTTCGGGATTCGAACCCCAGTCTGTCGCTTTAAAGGCGACTGTCCTACCCACTACACCACTTAACATATAATATTTGTGAAATTACGTTATATTTGACGCATAGTGCTAATGTAGGTTATACTACATGTATTGGTGAATTTATGTCTTTATGTCTCAATTCATGTGTCTTTAGGTCTGTGTCTCTCATCAACACACACACACTACTAATACTAAAAATGATGGGAAAAATAATTACATTCATGATAATAAACAACTGTAATTACAAAAATGATTAAAAAATGATATTGGTTATGATGCCAGTAAACATAACTATAGCTGTTAAAGAAAGAAAGAGTATGAGTGAGAGGAGGAAGGGAAGGGATAAAGAGATGGGGGAGAGGGGGAGAAGGAGAAAGAGAGAGGGAGAGGAGGGCCTCTGAGATATAGAAAGAGAGATAGTGTGTTAGCAAGGGAAGAAGAGAGAGGAAAAAAGGGGGGTGGGGGTGGAGAGTGAGAGAAAAGTCATTTTTCGTATTTCAACCTTCAAGAGGATAATGCCATATAAACAACAACAACAACAACAAAAATGTTGATGAGTATGTAAGCAAATTTTGGTATTAAAACAAATTCGTGCTTAAAAATCTTAACCTTATGGTCTCCGTCAGGAATTGAACCCGAGTCTGTCGCTTCAAAGGAGACCGCGCTAACCACTGCACCACGGAGACAATATATTAGAAAATTAGTTGGTTTATTTGGAGAGTGTTTATGTAGGTTATGCTACAAATGTTATGTGTGAATTCATGTGTCTCTCTCTCTCTCTCTCTCTCTCTCTCTCTCTCTCTCTCTCTCTCTCTCTCTCTCTCTCTCTCTCTCTCTCTCTCTCTCTCTCTCTCTCTCTCTCTCTCTCTCTCTCTCTCTCTCTCTCTCTCTCTCTCTCTCTCTCTCTCTCTCTCTCTCTCTCTCTCTCTCTCTCTCTCTCTCTCTCTCTCTCTCTCTCTCTCTCTCTCTCTCTCTCTCTCTCTCTCTCTCTCTCTCTCTCTCTCAATGTAGTCTATGCAATCTGTTTATATGCTTCAATGATTTAATAATATAGTTCTTAAACAATATATTTTATTATCAAAATAATAATATGGAGTGTACATTCTTAGAATTATCTATGTCTACCATGGGTTAAAATTAATAGAAACTGGAAAATAAAGGACTGTCTGTAAATTGCCCTCATGATGGGATGTGGAAAGCAATACTGGAAAAGTACATTTGTTCAGGATAACTCCGCATCGGTAATGGAATACTTGCCTTTCACTATTTCATGTGGTTTCAAACGTTAATTAAGCCGTTTCCTCCTTGCTTACCGCAGCTTTTCTTCGATAAGTACAAATGGCCCCGCGCCTTCACAACTGACGCTGCTCCGGCCTTCTCTCACCTTTGTAAAATTCCTTTCTAAAAGGGAATTGTTCTGTGGCTCCAAATGCACGCAGACAAGACAAGTGATTGTGCTGAAGAGGATTTTGGATTGAACTCATTCAATTTGCTGTTAATGTATAAAATATTTAATGAATATCTGGTGGGCAAGGAGAAAGAATGGGAGCGATATTAACTGGTCTATAAACATGCGTTATACAATTCAGCATGTATGCATACACAGGGACACATTAACTATGATGATAATAATACTGCTGCCAGTAATAACCATAGCAGGAAAAGAGAAGAGAGAGAGAGAGAGAGAGAGAGAGAGAGAGAGAGAGAGAGAGAGAGAGAGAGAGAGAGAGAGAGAGAGAGAGAGAGAGGAGAGAGAGAGAGAGAGAGTGAGTGTTTAGTCATTTAAACTTTATGGTATGGACATTTTTCGCGGTCAATTTGCTTTTGAATTTTCGCTCTCTCTTAACACACACATGGACATAAACACACACACATACACACACACACAAATAAATAAATAAAAATAGGCACTGTAAAGTAAGGGAATACACGGAGATAAGCAGCCAAAAAGATAGAAATGCTGGTGAGTGTGTAAGCTAATTTCGACATTGATATTAGTGCATGAAAACAAAGTTCATTGTGGTCTACGTTGGGAATTGAACCCGAGTCTGTGGCTTCAAAGGCGACCGCGCTAACCACTGCACCTCGGAGACATGACATTTAAACTTAGATGTATCTTTTGTGCATATTGTTTATGTACGTTATGCTACATTTGTATTATGAGTGAATTCATGTGTTTCTAGGTTTCTCCCTCTCTGTCTCTCTCTCTCCAAAGTCTCAATAATTTATTTTTATGCTCTAAAGGTTTAACAAATACAGTAATTTATTTATCCTTGTAGCAAGACGGTCTGTATATTCTAAGACTGAAGGTAGTAAAAAAATAAAAAAATAAAATAACAGCATCAGAAAAATAATTTAAAAGAATAATCTAATCCGATGCCTTATCGCACGCCTATAATCGCAGCCATATTTTAGTCCCATCGATTTAGATATAAACAATTTCTCTGTCTTGGTTCCTTTGAAATATCCAGTAATAACAACACCAGGGACATGGTACCCTCATGAGACGCGGACAGCAGTACTCCAGTTTTAAATTTCTTCAGGATAACCGCATCAGGAATGATATGGAACACTTGCCTGACACTCTCCTGCATGGTGTCAAAGGGTAATAGAGGCGATCCTCCTTACTTTCTGCTTTGTGTTCTTCGATGAGTACAAACGGCCCCCGCGCCTTCACAGCTGACGGATGACGACAAAGGTAGAGGGTGCCGTGTCTACATAGAAAATACGTCAATATAAATATTAGTTCTAGTTAAGTTTTAACTTTGGAATATGAAATCGCTCAGGAAAGAGATGGAGTCATAGACAACAAATTCTACAACAATTTAGCAGTGTAAGACATTATATAGACCATATACACTACTCGATAGCTATTTCAGACAATAATCCTAGTAAATATTCTCTGCAAAATAAGTCATTTCAGCGAAACCTAACGATGCAGAATGAGACTTGATTTGCCACGTGGCTCACACGCACACTCACATATGTACAAACACATATTCACACAAATGCGTAGCAGGGGAAAAGATATTGCAACCGGGGGCATAAATGTTGCATAAATACCTCTTCCCAACCCTTTCTATTGCCCCTCGTCACCGTGGCCGAGAGGGTAAGGGCGCCAGATTCGAAACCCGCGATCGCGAGTTCGAATCTGCAAAAGGGAGCCAAAAGTGCTCCCTCTGGTTGCAACCTCGCCCGGGGCTGAAAGACATGGAAAGCCCGGGCACAAAAATACAAGACGCCCGCCGGTTGCAATCAGTTTTTCCCTATTGTGTTTTTATGTGTGTGTGTTTGTAATTACCTGTTTTAGGCCATGTGCTCTCATGATAGGTTCATAAAAAATTTTTTTCCATATCAGTGTAGGATGGCAAAACGAGCCATATATATATATATATATATATATATATATATATATATAATATATATATATATATATATATATATATATACATATATATGCTTCAGAAGAGCGATTAAAATTGGAATAGGAAATGTGAAAAACGTCACAATAATTAGAAAATAAAAGCGAGTGAGAAAGAAAAAATAATCAAAGAAAAAATTCGTCGAAATCCAATAAATATGCAAAAGAAAAAAAAAGTGAAAAAAAGAATATAGAAAACCGCTAACAAAACAGAAAATAAAACGAATACAAGTGAAAAAAGGAAACGTTAAATGCGAAAATGCGAAAGTAGAAAATGCGTCAAAACTGCGACAAAAATGCTAATTAAGAAAACAGTGCGAGGGAGAGATTAACATTGCGAAATAAATACAGAAAAGTTCGCTAACAAAACAAGGCGAAAAAAAAAAAAAAAAAAAAAAACGCGTCGAAATGACAGAAACGAAGGGATTTTCACGGAGGCGAAGACGAAAATCGGCGGGAAAGAAGGAAAAGGAGAGAAAACTCGCTATTCCGACATCATATTTTTATCGTTTTCTCTGCAGCTTCCATCATGACTCCTTCCAGGATAACAGATATGACGAAAATAATCAAAACAGTATGATGAGAAGATGAAGAAACTGAGAGAAAGGATAACTTAGAAGGATTAGAAAAAATGAAAGAAAAAGAAAGCCGAAAAAGGAGGATTAAAGATGAGGGAAACGAAGGAATATAAAAGTGAGAGAATTATAAGAAAAGAAAACTAAAAGTGCAGGCCGAAAAAGCGCCAATTCCTCCGAGCATCTCAAGGAGGCGGACGACGGCCAGGACCCCCCCCCCTCGTCTCTCTCCTTCTATTCTCCCTTTCTCTCTCGATTTGTTTTGTTTTCTTTTTATAGTTCTTCGCTAATGTTCATTTACCTTTACTATGGTTATATTTTTGTGTTCATAAAATGACCGTTGTTTTGTGTCCCTAGATTTATATATACATACATAGTTGCCATCCTCTGCCCGCAGGATTGGAGAGAGAGAGAGAGAGAGAGGAGAGCGAAACATTATATATATTATATATATAATATATATATATATATATATATATATATATATATATATATATATATATATATATAATATATATATATATACAAAGAGAGGGAAGAGAAGAGAGAGAGAGAGAGAGAGAGAGAGAGAGAAGAGAGAGAGAGAGAGAAGAGAGAGAGAGAGAGAGAGAGAGAGAGAGAGAGAGAGATGGACAGAGAGAGGGGGGGGGGGCAGAGGGAGGCAGAAAAAAAGAGAGAAAGGGAGAGGAAACAGAGAAAAAGACGGAGGTCTCTTCTATTCCATGACACTGCAAACTAAGATGAGAGATACTAAAATGACTGAAGTTACCGTCATCGGGGATCGAACCCGAGCCAGTCGCGTAAGAGGCGACCGTGCTTTCCACTACACCACGGAAGTTTCATTCATCTAAAGGAAATTCGAATGTATTTCTATGTTAGCTTCAGGCAATGCCGTTTTTTTTGTGTATGTGTGTGTGCGCGTGTTTTTTTGTGGGCCTTTGTGTGTGTGTGTGCTTGTGTGTGTGTTTGTGTGTGTGTGTGTGTGTGTGTGTGTGTGTATGTGTTGTGTGTGTGTGTGTGTGTGTGTGTGTGTGTGTGTGTGTGTGTGTGTGTGTGTGTGTGTGTGTGTGTGTGTGTGTGTGTGTGAGTATATACAACCTAGATGAATGGCAAATAAAGCACTCTTTCTCCATATGTCTTTCTCTCTCTCTCTCTCTCTGTCTACCTCTGCTTATATATATATTTATCTTTGTCCGTATATAAATCTCCCTGTCTCTCTCTGCCTCCATTTATCTCCCCTTCTCTTCATGTATTTATCTGGTACGCAGAAAGATAGATAGATTAATAAATAGAAGGATAGATTGATAGCCAGACAGCTAGGTAGATCGATAAATGAATTGATAGATATAAAGATAAAGAGATAAAAAAAGATAAAAAGAGCCCATCAACCATCTCTTTCAAAAGAGAAAGGCATAAAAGCGAGAGAAAGACGGAAACGGAGATGGTAGATGGAAAGGAAGTGAAAGATAAGTTAAAATAAAGACACAAAGAATACAGACGAAAATGGCAATAACGCCAATAATCGCAATAACAGTGGTAAGAGTGATCAGAAGAAATGAGGCAAATAAACATAATGATAATAAAGATCAGTAATAGCCCTTGTAAAATGGGAATAGGAGTAAGTGTGACTATCAACACCAGCAATTGTGATGACAGTATTAGCGATGATCTGAGTTGTGAGAAGCATCAC